CAAATCATTAAGCTATTCTGAACTATCCCTTTTAATGATAAATTCTCCAAGGTTCTCAGCCGTCAGTCTAACTAAGCGGCCCTTGGGCATACGAGAGGGTAGTTCGTCAATGAAGGAGTAGATCCATTCAGGGGGCGCAAGGCCCTTGAATGTGATCGAAGCAAGCTTAGGAAAACGCCGTATGCAGAAGCCCAAGAGCGCGGTATAGTCATCCATCCCGGACTCGAGTGCATAATGAGCCAGATCGATAGAGGAAAGCTTCTCAGCATACATTACGTTTATCAGTCCTCTGACCGGTTCGACGGATTGACAAACGAACGTAGCAGACTCCAGGACTGGCAAGACAACCTCCGCAACCCCAATCCATAAGGCCACTCCGACTCTAGGCTGTCTCGAAGTTTCAACTTGAAGCCGACGGAGCTTGTGATTCATTCGAAGGAGACTAGTTATCTCCTGGACCGTGTCTATCGGCCTTAGGTTAAACTCGAGCTCCTCCAGTGTCCTTGTAGTGATAGTGTCGTTCAGAGCAAGATTGACCCTTCCCGCTCGGAGGACTCGAAGTCGTGGATAGTTGAGCCGGACGTTTAGTGCAGCCATCCCGCCGCCTTGATCTTCCACGTGAATTTCTTCCAATAGCGGCAACGAAGGTGGGAGAAGGTCATCCGGGTAGCCTCCCACAGGTGAGCTGCAAATGTAGACAGCTTTCCAGAGTTGTTGGGCGCGCACGACCGAGTGGTAAGGTCGAAACGCACTGCCGTCCCATCTGAAAGGGTAGACGAATAGCCATACAAACAACGGCTGCGTCCCAGATCGTTCGATGTATCTTGGGAGGTGATCCGTCCCAGTGATAGGGTCCCCGACGACTAGGGTCGTCCAACATCGCGGAGTAGTGCAAATCATCTGCTGAAAACGTCGTCATACTTCCATCAAGCGGGCTGGGGCTCGATGGTTGTTCCGACAATCCCCAGAGGTCACGGTAACCCAGATGAGGATTTCGATCACTAGCTCCGGTGGAAGGCATGAGAGTGACCCTAAATTGGAGTTGTTTGCCTATGTGTCCATCAGCTTGATTTCTAAAAGCAGAGGCGACGAGTAGCAATGTACCTCTGACTCCGAATCCGCAATACTCCTATCACGGTGACCTGCAGTGCCGTACTCCACAGATGCTGTACCCATCGTTATGATTCAGAGGCAGAGAGACCTGAGAAGATTGATGTGGGCGGAGTGATTCGAGTTCGATGAGAAACTGAGTGAGACTGGTTGGATCGCAGTCGAATCCCAGGGTGCGCGGGGGACTGGGACCCCGAAACCGCCTTCGCAAAGTATTCCTAGCGGGGTGGTCCGGAGAGAAAGACTTCATTGGGAAGAAACTGTACATGTAGCGTATCTCCCGTCTGTTGAATGCCAGAACAGTCGGTGAGAGCGTCGACAAAAAGCTGGTGCGAGTGAGATTCGAACTCACGCATCTTTCGATACTGCAGTGTACCCCGAAGTTGTATTCCGGAAAGCCATGTTGCAGACTTGAATGCAGCGCCTTAGACCGCTCGGCCATCGCACCTTGTTGATAGTCGTTTTGGGAAACAACATGACGCC